TTCAAAGCCAACTCATCAGACTCATCAGATTTTTTAATTACTGACCATAAAGTCGCTTCTTTAAATAATTGATCATCATCATCACCATATGTTTTATCTCCATTCTGTAGTTCACCTGTAGCTGCATCCATATGTGTAATAGTAGCTACATATTTCATTTGAGGTGAACAAACGATCTTGACGTATTTCTCATTCTTGCCAGTAGCGGATGGAGGACGATTAGAAACATCAATTATAGTTTCATATTCTTCCATTATTTAATTCGTAATAATTTTTTTCTTTCGTAAGTAAAATTAAAAAAAAAAAAACTGATACATCGGTATTTACCAAAATCTTAAACATAAGAGGCTTAATTATTTGTTTACAAAGAGGCTTCTGTTCTGTATACTTAAATAAAGCCACATGCCAGGAATTTTCTCAAGTCAAGAGCCGGTGCCGTTCGCTTCACCAAATCTCGGTGCATAATATAACAGGAGCGACCGTTCAAATTCGTAGATGATTCCTATGCAATTACACGTAATTGTCAACCAATCATATCTCGAGTTTTAGCAAATCGGCCAATCAGAGTACAAAAATAAAGTTGTGGGATTCACGGGGATTCAAAGAATATGTTACAGAACAAAGCAAAAAATTAATTCACCCGTTAATTTACTCTCGTTTCATATAAAATTAAGATACCCGAGCTTCTAAAAGAAGTACGTATCTTATTTATCAATTGTGTAACCATGCCGGAATCATTTACGAATTTGAACGGTCGCTCCTGTTACACTATATTCCAATTGATACCTTATTTGTTCTACCGATATTTATTTTTATTGATAACATTCAATTCACTGATAAAGCTTGTTTCGCTGACAGCTAACTAACCAACAATTAGGACCCGAGCATATACACACACATCTATATAACAGGAGGAACCGTCGATGTTACACGACTGATCCTTCACCCGGTGTGCAACATATAAAAAAATTTTTTACAATACCAGATCATTCCGCTAGTACATGTTATGTTTATAATCCCACACCATTTTTATTATAATAAAATGGTGTGGGATTATAATCATAACATGTACTAGCGGTATTGCAAAATCATTTTTTTATATGTTGCACATCGGTGAAGGATCAGTCGTGTAACATCGACGGTTCCTCCTGTTAATCTATATACTGTATCGATATATATATATATATTATGTATATGATATACGGCTCACCGACAAGTTCATTTCACCGACAGCTCATTTAACCTACAAGGTAATTCTGGTCATTGTCGTTAGGGTTAGAATTAGAGATAAGGCTAGTGTAATTTATAAAAAAAAAAAAAAAAAAAAAAAAAAAAAAAAAAACTTTTAAAATGAGCTGTCGGTGAAATAGCTGCGGTGAAATTATGAACTTGTCGATGAAATAAGTGTCAGTGAAATAACAAGTCGGTGAAATGTTGTGTCTACGAAATGAGTGTCGGTGAAATGATATGGAATCTATATAAATAGGTTAGATACTAGTTTGCCTATTTTTTATACATTTTTCGTACAAAATTTTGCCTATTTTTGACCAAAAATTTACTATGTAAAAACTGTCTTGAAGTGATTTTTTATAAATCTTTCCATATTTAGTACTCTCTAGCTTTTTTAGAAGTAGCTCTGGTTCCTCAACAATTTGTTTTAAATTAATCGTAAAGAATCGTAAAGAATCAGAGTAAGATTGCTTGGACGTAGTTCTATTAATTTATATTAAAGTATTTTTTTTAAATCAAATAAAAGAGGATAAAAGAATAATAAAATAAACAAAATAAAAACAAAATAAAAATAAAAATAAATAAATAATAGTAAAATTACACATAAAAAAAATAATAATTAAAAATCATACCACATAGTTTCCTTTAATCTTCGATTCACTCACCAGCCTTCAATATTAGATTCTCGTAATCAGCCGTCAAATTAGCTATATTAGGAGTAAGTTTCTTTATTCGGCATGTACTATATAAACTAACAAAAAAATTTTACAGTTTTTTGCTAAAATCATGTGATAGATTCAGACTTATTTTAATATAGCACTAGAGATGGGTTTCATGCGTGCGCATGATTCCTCAATCATGCGCATTAATGCGCATTCATGCGCATGATTCCGTATCATGCGCATTTTATCCCATCTAAATTTTATATAGGAAAATTAAAGTATATATAATTTAGGCCGAGAGTATAATGTCAGGTGGAATTAAGAAACAGGAACGCAAAAGTTCCGAAAAATTTCGAAAATAAAATGAATGAACATGAAAGCGTTAAGGGTCGGGCAAAAGTTAGATCCAATATATGATATTTTCCAAGGGGAAAATTTAAAATAAAAAAAGTTATATCATGCGATATCATACGCATGTTATTATAAAATATGCATTTCCCCATCTCTAGTTGTAACGAATTAAAATTTTAGTTTCTTTATTTTTGTTTAAACTTATATTTTAGTCGGTACCTTTTCCGTTCGTATGTAATTTTAGCATTAGTTGTTATCCATCTATTTTGGTAACAATGTCCAATTTTAGTAGATTGATTAATCTCTTGATTATTCATTATTTATACTAAAATGGTAATGATGGTTGGCTTGGTGGCTTAATCATATGAATGTTACGCAGG